CAGGAATGTTCATCCCGGGGTCAGTGTGTGATTAAACTGGAAGCTGCTGATATACCAGATGGTGACCTCTATAATTATCCTATTTTGCTTCCTGTTTGTCTAGAAAAACTTTTTTTTTTTTTTTCCCCAGCTGGTGTTTGCATGTTGATGTAAAGGTTTTAGTTTCTTGAAGCTGAAATGGCAGTATTAAAGATGCCCTATTGTCCCTGTTTTCTAGCAGATTTGTTGGCTGGAAGAATCCTGAGGCATGCCTGTCATGACCTGAAGGGTTACCAGCCTGCGGGTATGGGTGTATAATACTGGTATCAAGTGATACCATCATCAAGTGAACCAAACCACCCCAGGGGTGGGAGGACAAACCAAAACAACCCCAAAAGTGGGCCCAGAGGGGGACCAATGAGAGAACAGAGTCACCCTTCAGAGATGCTCTGTGTTGCAGAGTCTGGAGTCGGCCGGGCATCCCCAATGAGAGTCCAAAAGCTGGTAGAAAGTTCATGCAGTGAACTCAGTTTGTTTAGAAATGCAAAAGTATGTGCAGCATGGGAAGTTCTTGGATAGAGAGACTCCATTTTGGATAAAAATTATGACCTTTTTATATCACAGAGACGTAAAGGGGTGTAGGACACTACCACTTTGGGCCGCCAATAGGTGCTGTTAATTTCTGGTTTTCACCTTTGACAGCCAATAGATGATGATGTTTTCTGTTCTTTCAGACCAATTTTTATTTTCCAGACCATTTTCCACCTTTTCAGAAAATAAATTGCCTTTACAATCACTTTTTTTCCACTTATCAATGCTACCTCAGGATGTCTCCAGTTTCTAGGTACCCAGCTGCACCTCAAAGAGGCCGGCTGTGCCTCTCAAGGACGTGCCTGGTTCCTAGGCTGGCAGGCCTTTCTCTGTCCATACTTCTCAGCAGATATTTTCTTTTGCTCAGCAATTTCCCCCTTCTAACCAGGCCACCTTTATGGCTGCTCACATCAGCACCCCAGCAGATTTAATTTCCTTCAGAAGACTGCAAGAAGAGATGCGGAGAAAAATACACCTGCAGGGGAGAAAAGCTGGAGAGCCCAGACAAAAAGACATTTCCGTAGGACAGAAAATGTGCTCCTAATGTACAGTGACCTTTGAATGTTTTGTAGCCAAGGATTTCTGTTTTAGGATCCTGCTGGAACTTATTCACTTCAGCTATGGTAAAATAATTCTCAAAAATGAGGGAAGGTTCTCTATAAACTTTGATTCAGGAGGCTATTTCTCTGTGAAGAATGAGCATAGTGGGTGATATTGTCCCACGCAGAACAATATCCCACCGAACCAGGGATGACTATGAGACTTTGGTTTCATAGTCCAAATATAATTCTACTGAATTTATTAAAAAAAAACCTGGACAAACTGTTAAAACTCACAAAGAAACCTGTGTGTATGCAAGAAAGAGAGTATGCACCTTACGGGCACTTCATTTTGCCTAGCCTTAATGATGAAAATCCCATCTTGACCAAATGCTTAGGTACACTTTCTCTGTTCTGAACCCATTTAATAAATCTTTTTATCTCATGAAAGGTCTGATTATCCACACCTTAACTAAGCACCTAAAGATGCTGTGTATTTTATTAGAACTGGATGAGGATGAAGGTGCCATGTAGCAGGAGAGACAAGAAGGAGAAAGAAAAATGAAGAAGGAGGTTACATGTAAGCTTGGGTCAGCACCGAGGGGAGAAGAGCAGGAGGAGGGTAGGGACCTTCTTGACAGATGTTGCTCGGTGTTACTGAATATCGGTTTCCACGCTCACACCCCACAGTTCCCATGTGCTGAAGCCAGCAGCACGCCACTTGTTAGCAGCGCTCAACAACCAAAATGAAGGAACAAGTATTTTTAATAACAAACATTGGCTCTGTTCTGATCTGCTCATCTGCCCACGTGCAGAGTATTTACTTTCAAAATTTTCCGGGAGCCGTTGGAGAGGTAATGTGACTTTCTAATGTTACCCACAAAAGAGAAGGTTGTGCGTTAATCACAGCTGACCGCACAGGAGTTAAATGGATAATTTGATACGTAAAATCCAAGGAGAATGTGAATCTGCATGCTATTTGGGCCTGGTGGTGTTTAGGACACTCAGAACGTGATCTGGCTGACCAAGCATGGGTGCCCAGTAGTGCTGGAAATGCCGTCAGGCGTCTTGAGATGTCTGCGTGGCGTTGGCAGTGGGCTGGGGGACATTTCATTCCTCATTTGGGCCTTGGGCTTTCAAGGCCACCTGAACATTGCACTCTAATTGAGGAATATCTTATCAACGAGCTGAGTGTCTGTGCTGTCCCTGATTAACGAATCATTAATGACCATAGGTTGTACCACAGTTTAGGTGGCCCCAAGGAAAGAAAAGAGCACATTGTGATGACTGAGTTATACAATGCTTAAATGCTACACACAACTAGGGGAGGTCGTTGCTACAGTATACGTTCTGGAGCATATTCTATAAAAGCTTAAGTTTTGCTCATATGGCAAAATTTTTGCTCTAGCTTTATAGTCAAAATGAACAGCATGTGCTTTTCAGGGGTGATGAGTGCACAGGGCAGAGTAGGATTTGGATCACAATCCCTTGAACAGAAGAAAAGTTCTTTATCAACATCTGCAATGAATCTAGAAAATGGTTACAGCCTCTGAAACGATGACTCACAGCTGATTTGCCCCTACTAAATCGCAAATCTGTCCACAAGAGAAAGTTCACTGACCCACTGGAAAACTTGTTACGTAATGTTGTGCACAACTGGATTCATTTAAAAACTGGAGCTGTGACTGCTGCCGCTCTTTAGCTAAGACATGAACTTAGCAGAGGCAAATCTCACTTGTTGAAAAACAGCTGCACCCATTTCACACCCCCTGCCCCAGAAATACACCCCTCAGATTAAAAAGATTTGATCGAGGACTGAAAGAAACTGCTTTTGCCTTGATAATCTATATACTGGAGGAATTTTGTGGCTTGCAACAAGGATGATCATGTTCCTCAGGCTTGGGTCATTGTTGAGGTGACTATAGAGGGAACTGAGCAATGGGGAAAATGAGGAATCCTTAATCAAACTGGACATAAGGGAACCTTTGAACATAAATAGTGAAGTTATTTTATGTTGTTGTCTTAAAAAAAATTTGGATATAACACACAGTAGAAGTATTCATACTGACATTAGTATTACTGTCATGTCCAAGACAGTGCTTTAGCTCCTAGATAGGTACTGAAATTACAGCTTTTTTTGGAGTTTCTGTGTATAATCGATCTCGCTTGGACTTGGAGAATTGATAGGTGTTTTCCTGGGGATTTTATGCTAACATTATGCATAATTGCTGGCTTTAAAGCTGCAGAATGATTCATCCGTGACATCATTCTCCCTTCATTGCTCCTCATAGACACCAACCTTTCTCATTTTTGACTTCTAGGATCACAGTGACAGCAATGTGCAACATGGACTTCAGCCGCTTCCCCCTGGACTCTCAGACGTGTTCTCTGGAGCTGGAAAGCTGTACGTTGTACCTGTGTTTCCAGCTAGATGTGCTCCATGGCTGGCTACACAAACATAGACTGGACACATTTTAGAATACAGTGTATTTTAAAGCCTGAAAAAATAATTCGAGTTACTAAGAGTCTTTCTATTGACTCACTGTGTTGTGTATCTAGCCCTTATGCTGCAAGACAGGGGAATTTGCAAGGAAAGCATCTTTGTATGAATTTTAGTAGATGACACTTTCAAATAAAACACCAACAGAAATGTTCAACATATGCCGGTTCTCAGCAGCTTGCTGATGAGAAATCTGGAGAAGTTTGGCTCTGTTCATTGCTTCTGACAGGAAGATGGTGCTTTCAAGTGTCACAGTAAAAAGATGATTGTAATGATCATTGATTTTCTCTAAATTTCATCACCAATGTGGTCTATGTATGATATAATCCTGATCCTGCAAACACTGTGACCTGGGCTCAGCTTCTTTGGGAAGGAGTTCTTCTGTGGAGAAAGTGATGTGAACAGTAAGATTTTTCGTGGCTGTTCAGTAAACTTTCTCCAGGGTGTAGCAAGACTAACATCTAGTTGTTTTGAGGTCCTCCCAGCTATTTAACTGAAATTTTCCTCTACGGACAACAGAATCACAGGGTAATTTAGGTTGGTCTAGAGGTCAGCTGCTCCAATACCCTGCTTAGAGCAGGGAGAGCTTTATAATGGGTTGCTCAGGGCTGTGTCCAGTTGGGTTTTGAACATCTCCACAGTAATGGAGGCTCCACAACTTTTCTGTGCAACCTGCTCAAATGTTTAACAGCTCTCATCCTGAAAAAGTTTCCATTTACCCGCTTGTAAAAAAATCCTTTGCTGCAACTTGCATCCCTGGCCTCTTATCCTTTTGCTCTGCGTCTTGGAGAAGAGTCTGAGCAAAACCTTCTGCCATCTTCTCTATGACCCACAGCAGGGCAGCTCTTGGACCCTGCCACAGACTGCTGTTTCTTCCAAACCCAGCTACCCCAGCCTCCTGTCTTACGCCATGTGTGCCAACCCCCTGATCAGCTTGATAACCCTTTTTTTCATTCCCCATAAAAAAAAATTCCTGCTACCTAGTGTGCTAATTCTTTAAGTTTTTCATTTACAGTCTTCAAATATTTCTAGACTTTTGCTTCAAATCACACCTGTCACTTTTGCTTTTACCATTCTAAGATAGCTTGAGGTGCCTGTGGTTTCCTCCTTCCTCTAAATTCAGGTGATTGAGCCATGACTATTTTCTGAGTTATTCTTATCAGTTAGCAATACCTTGTCTATGATTTTTGATATGTGATGCTCAGAAAAGTACCATTCTAGCTGACATTTCATCAGTGTGGATGTGTTTACCTGAATAAGGATGACCTGGATTTTGTTGTTGTTGTTTTTGTTGTCATGGCATACCATACGGCAAGATGTTTTTAACTTGCTGTTGTTAGCAAACTTATTTGTGGCATTACTTCATGCCAAAGATGCCTTTGTGTTTGTTAATTTTTAATGGATCTATTAACTTTTGTTTCCCCTCCAAGCTAAAGTCACATTACATTGTGTTTTTTCTTTCTCTAAGATGCTTACACTGATGAAGATCTGATGCTATATTGGAAAAATGGGAACGAATCTCTGAAAACCGATGAAAAAATTTCTTTGTCTCAGTTTTTGATACAAAAATTCCACACTACTTCGAGACTGGCTTTCTACAGTAGCACAGGTATTGACCTTTTCTAATGTAATGCTATTGCTAAACCTAATGCTGTATTACCTACCTGTGAGAGAGCTCTTGAGATTATATGTCACTGAAATGTAGTCTCCACGGTCTGGACAACATGTGTTTTGAAAGATCAGTTTTCTCTTTTCACTGCCCTTTAGAAAGAAAATATCAATAGAAAGATCTTGTCTCTCTGTGTACCATCCAGGATGTTCTCACTGATTCCGGCTTTCCTCCTCTCTCAAAGGTTGGTACAATCGCCTCTATATAAACTTCACTTTACGCCGACACATCTTCTTCTTCTTGCTCCAAACCTACTTCCCCGCCACTCTCATGGTGATGTTGTCCTGGGTGTCCTTCTGGATCGATCGCCGAGCGGTTCCTGCCAGAGTCTCTTTGGGTGAGAATAACTCTAACAAGCCATGACTGTGTGAAAATCTTTGGATGTGAAAGTTTTGGCAGGAAAGGGAACTGTTCATTTTGATGGTTAAAGATATTGGGCAAGCAAATGTTTGTTTTATCTGATGATTAATATAATGTAAAACTTGCAGTTTGTCTTAAGGCCTTCATCGCTAAGCAGTCCTCCTGATCTATACTTAACTCAGGACAGAAACGGCTGTGGTTTTAAAAATAGAGTTGGGCAGAGAAGAGAGGTTTCAGTATTTACGAGTCAATGAATACAGATTTTTCCCTGTTGTCCAGTCCTGCAGTTCTGCGACACACATTGCCATCGGTGAGGGTAGAGTTTCACAGGAGTTTGGGCCCCTACAGGGAGTTAAAGGCTCCCGTTGGTACGATTTTCACGAGTGCCTTTCATGAGCAGGATCCTGCCACGTCCCAGGTGCCACAGCGGGTGTCCCAGCCCGGGTATGTGCCTTCCCAACCAGGCGGCACTGGTGCTGTAGCCGGTGGTTTTCTCCAGGCTGCCTGGAGGGCCCCAACGTGGCACATCTTCACAAAGCTGGGAAAGAAAGGCACCAAGGGATCTAGTCCCATCAGCACCTGCAGACTTTGGTGTCCCTCCCGCTGGTGTGCCTCTGGGGACAGGCAGGACATCTCTGTAACATCAGGCCTCAGACAACAGCACGGCAGTCAAGGGAACCTGGCTTTCCTCTCACATCTGCAGTGCTGAGGATGAGAGGCCACCAGCCCCAAGGCAAGGCAGAGGTTGGGTTTCTCCTCTCCCAAGGGTGCTTGGCACTGAGGGTCCAGTGTTTCTGGGGTAGGGCGGTCTCGCTTTTGAGGGAGTGGGGAAGCAAAGGAGGAGCTGCTTGAAAATCCTACGCACACCGATCTGCCTCTCTGGACATCAGAAACCCATCAGGAGGAGCTTTGTCTGTGTCAGGACCGGAGGAAGTTCTTTCAGCTGAGCGTAAAAAGAGCTGATTTGGTTATTGCTCTGCGCATGGGTTAGAGGAAGACAAAAATGTAATAGGAAAAATCTCTGAATGTTAATACTAAAAGCTTCCAATACTAAAAGCATAAAACCAGTATTTTAGCCCACAAGTTTGTCTCACTTAGAGAGCTATGCGCTGCAGCAAACACATCAGAAGAGGCAGTCAAGAGTCCGCTGTGCTGAGAGAGAAGTGTTCAGTGGATACTATTTTTTAAAAAAAATAGATCCTGACGAAAAGTGAACAACAGTAGCTGTGTTTACAGTGATCACTGTTTTGAAATGGCTGAAGTAACTGTGAATGCTTTTTGGCTCTGTTTTCTCTATTTAAGCGGTTACAAAACTATTTCTAAATCTTTCTCTCCAATATTTGTAAATCTTTCTCACCATGATGATCCAAAGTATATACTATTTTGCAGGATTTTATCTATATCTGTCTAAATATATATACACATACACACCTGTGTGTGTATGTATACACACATACACATGTGTATATATACACATATTCATATATATGTATATAAACATAAAGATAGACGTATGTTTATAAACACATGTACATGCACACATTTATATATATAATACAGTGGTGGTGGTTCAAAACTTTTTGATTCCCACAGCTTGAACTGTAGACAAATATTCCTAGAGGTAAAAACATAATGCTTTTCTTTTGCATGCTTTCATGCAAAACATTTTATCATTATTGCACATCCTTTTTAAGATCAGCGATTCCGATCAAACCCTCTTTAGCTGTGACCAGAAGTCAATACTAGGCTGCTTCCCGGCAGTGCCTGTAACACAGATAGGTACAGCCGGGAGACAGGAGTCCTTGTCACCCCTGGGCTGAGCAGACCTGGCTCTAAGGACTCTGTTAAACCCTAGAGGTTAAGGAGAGCGTTAAATGCTGTTCCTAGCAAAACGATAGCTGCTCCGTTGCTCCTCAAAACTAAACCCATCATGCACACAGAAGTGCAGGCAGTGGAACAGATCTGCGTTGGCAGGAGAGATACTTACCACAAATTTATTTCATATCTAACATCTCTTAGAGCTTCATGTAGAGCATAATTTCTGTTTTTCTGGAGACAAAAGCCTTATGGACTGTATCAGTCAATAACATTCATTCCTCTTGTTTCTTTCCAGGGATAACCACCGTGCTGACCATGTC